AAAGTAACAAGTGGCCCAAAGGAGGCTTTTCTCAGTACCCTGGGGCCACACAGGCACGGAAAGTTTTCCACTTTTCTGCTCCCATGGCCTGAACTTCCTAAGCAGCAGGGAGAAGGGAACGAGGAGGAGTGGAAGGTACCTGGACAACATGGAGAGGTGAAATGCTGAGTACAAAGGGCCAGAGCTCTTGCATCCTGTCTTTGAGGCGAAGACAAAGGGCCTAGGGCCCAGATCTCTTTTGGTCACTAATCTCTCTCGCTTTGCTGGAGACAGAGACCTGATGCATTCTGGGTGGGAGTCACTCCCTGGGACAAGCCACCCCAGAGAACACAAGTCCGTGGACAAGGGTAATTTCCCTTGTGGAAGGCTGGGATGTCCCTAGCCTCAGGGGCGGCAGACTTCTCTTTTCTTCTCTCGAGCCAAGAGGCAGAAGCATTACTGAGACCATAACTAGGAACTCACTGGGTAACCCAAGAAGGAACCCAACTCTGCTGTCGGCTGGGTCAGAGAAGAGCAGTCTGTTTCCGGTGGGTCTTGATGCCTCCATGAAAGGTAAAGATGGCTGAAGGCCCAGGGCAGGGTTCCCAGGGAAAGCCAGCCTGTGATTACATCCATGGACAATGAGTAGGGCCCCGTGGACACCGTTAGGACAATGATAGAGTTAGATGATTGGGAATCTTGGCCATGAGAGAATGTGCTGGGGGCAGTGAGCTCCCTGGAGACATTAAAGAAACCGTATGATGGTCAAACTCCTGTCCAACCTAGAAGTTAGAACATTTTTGTTGAGTAGCCCCCACCATCTAGAACCTCGTATTCTCTGATTCTCCTTGTTTGCGGCTTTGTGGTCATGTTCTGTTTGCATTTGCTCCTCAGTAACATTGCTCAGAAGCCTTTCTTCCAGCCATCTGCATGTTTGCCCGAAGGGAAGAAACAGCATTTTTACAGGGAGATTGGGGCAGAGGAACACTGTTCCCCTGCCGGCCAGCAGGGGTGGGGGCAAGGTCATCCCAAGTCCAGATCCCAGACCAAGCAGCATGATGAGGTTGGGGAATGAAGATCTCAGACTAAAAGCATCTGGACCTGGCCCCTTCCTGCTTGGGTATGGCAGTGTCAAAGACTTTAGTGCAAGTCAGGGAAATCCCCATCACACCTCTGTTATTGAAAATAAGCAGCCATTGGAAATACTGAAGCTAGGGTAGAGAAGAACCTTGATGCAAAGACAGTGGTGAAGTTTTGAGAGCTGAGATGCTGGGAGAAGCTGGCAAGGCCGGGCCTGTGCCTGGCCTCTGTGGGTGGTGATGGGGAGTGAGTATGTCCTTAGGGCTGTCCCAGGGACTGGTGTGGCTGAGGGGCTCTGACATTCCCTGGGGTCTTTCCTCTCCCTCTGGAGACCTCATTCCTTTCTGCACAAAGACTAGGTTTTCTAGAAAGAACCACTTGCAACAAACTTAGGATTACCACCTATTCTTAAAACCCCACAGTACCTTTTAGAAAGTCATTTTCTCCTAGTTGTTAAGATTCAGCCAGTATGATTTCTAGTCTTTGGGACACACAGAGGCCTCCTATTTCCCTAGGTTTATTATTCCAGGGCACCAGGGGAGCCAAGCAAGGCCAGGAAAAGGCAACTCACAACCCCCGCGTCTATAGCAGGCAAATGCTGGACTAGCAAATGGGGAGCAGTAGTGGCTGACAATAAGCTACTGCCTCCACTCACCAGAATCCACCTTGCTCTTCCTTTTTATATGCTTGTGAATAATGAACACACGCTTAAACACACTCATCACTACTGCCACCACCACCATATACAAATATATGCCACCCCCTGCCTCAGTTCTCTCAAAGCATCGCCCCATTTGCACCTGACCCCAGTTCGCCAAGTAGTTTTCCGTCATTACCTTCAGTGTGCCACTCCCCAGGTGTGTGTGTGTGTTGGGGGATAAACTTTTGTCCATCCCCAAACACCTTAGGAGTTGCTTGGAAAGAGTGAGGCCTCTTCCTCTTTTGTGTATTTAGGCCTGATTTTGCCCCTGAGCCCGTTCTTCGCAAAGCCTACACAGCATCCTTCTCGTGATGGCCCCAGCCAGGCCTTTCTTCCACTGTCTCCACACTTCATCCCCAAGTTTCAGGGTCGAGTTTCCTCTCCTCATATTTACAAACCTGGGCAGGTTGGGTTGCCGGTGTGATGCTATCAGAGACAGCCTTATCTAGCTACAAAGTGTGAATCAGAGATTACACCACACAGGGCTGGTGCCAGCTAGGCGGGCTGCCATATTGCCAAGTAACCCAGTGGTTGAACCGGGTTGGGTTGAGTAATATGCACCAATGGGAAATGAGTTTATTAATCATGCGGCATAGCACACTGTTGACGAAAGTGCAACTCTGAAGGCCTAGTTTGACTGGAGAAGGTGCAGGTGGGGCTGGATGCTAACTAAGAAGACACCCAGTGACGCTATCTTCCTCTGAAAATAGTCACTTGAAAAACACATAGAAATCTGGAGGGAACCATCTAGTTTAGCAAAGAGATGGAGTATATATGCTCAATCATCAGGGCTTTTTAGCCATCTTGGATTCCTTTCGTTTAAAAAAAAAAATGGTTGCTTCCTCACGGCTGTACATAAAGTTGTAGTTTGGAATTTTTCAAGTTTTGTGAGGTGAGAGAAGGGAATTCAAGATGGCAGCCAGTGACCTAGAATTGCGTGGGTGAGAAACTTTTAGATTCCATACTGCATTCTCTTTATTGATCTCTTACTTCAAAAACATTCTTTTCTAAAGCCACAGCCCACCTCCTCCACCCAAGTCTGCCCTCAGCTGCTTGGTGACTACAGCCAACCAGACACACCACCCACATTCTCCACTGTGATGGGCCTGCACTGGGGCAGCGAGCGCAGTTTCCAAGCAGGAAGGATATACACTTCTGTCGTCGTAGGGCTGGCCTGGTTGGAACCTCGGGCCCAGAGACACTGTCTCCCCAGTCATGTGCGGGGCTCCATTTACATAGCTCAGTATTGTACACTGAGCCCCAAAACTTTGCTGTGGCAGATAATACCCGGAAATGCATGAGAGAGAAGCAGGGAAATGTTTTAGAGGGGAGGCTGGGGGAAAGGGAGAGGGACAGAGCTCGCTTGTCCAAAGCTTGCTCTGGGACAAGCCTCATGGGGATAAAGGATGGTAAAGACTACAGGAACTCAGGTGAGGGGACAGGATGGAAATGTGGACCCAGGAAGGACATGGAAGGCACGTATCTCTTCCAGAGGAAGTTCTATGGCTGGCAAGTAAACTCAGTTAAGAACAGGGAAGGTTCTGGGGAAGAAAAGCTCAGAGGGGAAGCACTACTTTCACGAGAGGCACGAGGGGTTAATGCAGTAAACGCATTCCCTGCCTGTTCTCCAAACCTGGATGCTCTTTCTTATCTCAAAGCATCATATCCCTGGGTAGCTCATAAACACAGGTTTCAGCCAGGACCACCTTTCCCAGGCGGCTACACATACTGAGGCCTGGAAAATCCTGTCCAAGTGGGATGGAAGTTATAGACCTGTAAACCTGATCTCCCCCAATTACCTGACCACAAAAGAGCTTCCAATCTCCCTGGTCATCTTGCCAACCCTGAAGAACCCCTCTCAAGTCTCCACCTGTTTTTCAAGCTTCAAAGCTTTAGCAAGACACCCGTCACAGAGGTCCCATTCTGGTGCTCCCTGTGACTGTCAGAGAGTAGTCATAAATCAGGAAAACTCCTTATTTCTACCCGGAAACGCCCACTGGAAACCACAGAGAAGGGTTCTAGAAGGTTCCCGCCACTAGCCTCGAATCCCATGAGCTCGTCTAATTCACTCATGTAATCTCTCCAGCAGTTTAAAGTCCCTAGGAGGGTGGAGGATAGTTCTATTCTCTCGGAGCCACAGCGAACCCTGGACAGTGGCACCACCAGAGCCACACAGAGTTCTGACCAACTCCCAGTAACACGGGATCCCACACTTCCACGCGCACAGTTTTCAGAGCAAGAACGGCAAAGCAGGCAGGAGAACCTATCACACCAACAACCAGCCAAAAACAAAATGAGACAAAGAACAGGCCAAACCAAAACTTTATGCTATGAAAACAAGAAATAAGGAGATTTATAGGCCGGCTGATTGTCAGCAAACACAATATATTTACTGTATTAGCATTTGCTCACAGTGCAAATGGTACAACATTACACCATTTCAATATTTCGGTTTTTAAAAATGCTGTTTTCATTAACTATATTATATTGGCATAACAATGTGACGAAGGAGCAGATGAAATGTTGGTGAAGAATTTCACCTTTTCACAATATCAAGCATATTTTTTAACCTTAGTATAAGGTACTATAAATCCAAGAAATAAAAACATCCACAAAATATATTACATCTGGTTTGTCTTTTTCTAAGTACTCAACTTTATACAAAAGTCTTTCAAAAAATATCATTCCCCATAGGTTTTCCTGTTTAAAACCTGATTTTTTTCTCTCAGTTCACATAAGTTAGAGTGCATTTTCTTTTGTTGTTTTTTTAAAACATGCAGACATATAAAAAATCTGGATAGCACAACGTTTTGGCAACAAAGTTATTTTTCTCTTAGTTTAGCTTAAATGTCTGAGAACAGTTGAATTAAAACAAAGGGAAACTCAAAGTTGTCATGCAGCGACATGCACGAGCTAGAAGGAGCAGGGAAAAATATTAAAGGATATCTGATTCCTCCTTCCAGCTTTGAAGTGACCAAAATTTTTGTTTTTAATAATCATCACATTATAAAAAGTATTCAGCAAAATACTGTCTCTGCAAAGAAAGATTTTACCTCTCAGCTGAAAAAATATGAGCCCTCCTGGCAAACTTTGTCCTCCTCTCTCCTACCAAAAGTCCAAGTGCCTGGAAATCCACAACCCCTGCTCTTTGATTTTTCCCTTTCACTAGACTCCTTTTAGTATTATTTATCTGCCACCCTAAAAAAAAAAACAAACAAAAAACAGTGCTTTTTTTTTCTTAAAAAAAAAATAAAGGTGAGTAATGCATAAAGTGACTTTAAAAACAGACATTCTGTAAACTCCAGACCTTTGTTCCTCCTCTCTGGGCAGCTCACTGGCCACAGGAGAAATAGTGCGAACAGGGAACAGTACATTCAGCCAGGCCTGCGCTGGGAGCTGTGTCACAGGGCAGCCTTCCCTACCGCTCCGCTCCTCCGAGTCGCCCCTGGGTGGAGCCGGGCTGGGGGCAGGGGTGCCTGAGAGGAGGTGAGGTAGGGCGGGGAGAAGGTGAGAGGGGGGCATGGAAAAGATACGCCTCGTTAATCAACATGGGTAAACGCAAAAATCCCCATGTCTCAGGGGGAGAACTTGGACAGAGATGTGTATGCATGGATATGTATGTGTATATACATACACAACATAGATATATGCACGCATCTATACTCGCACACACACACATATATAGATATAATTTCATCAGTTAAATTTTTCATAAAAAATAAACCATTTTATTCCAGTGCACTGCACTGGACGGCCAGGTACCTTAGAAATTGTATTTTGCTAGGAATACATATCATGTGTATTTCATATATGTATATATATGTGTGTACACACACACACACCACATACATAGATTTGAAGTCTATCTGTTGGTGACTAAGGGCAAAACAGGAGCTTGCTTCCCCACCAAGGTGGGGAGAAGACGTGGGGATGTGAGTGGGAGAGGACCCCAAGGTGGTGGAGTGGGGTGGCCGGTTGAGGCCTGCCTTTCCGGGAAAAAATTTTGAACAAGATGGGAGAAGGCTTAGCGGGGAGAAGGGGGAAAGGGCGGGGGAAGGGCAGAGGGCAAACTCAGAACATAGATTTTTTAAAAGTGGGGCTGAGGAAATAATTTTTAAAAAGACAGGTTCAGGGATAGCTGCTTCTCCCCGCAAATCAAACTGCTCTGAGGCCTAACAGGGAAGTGCTCGGAAAAGGTGAGGTTCCGAGGGAGGGACCAAATTTTAAGAGGCAGTAGCGGCGCCGCGGCAGTGGCATCCGAGGCATTTCTGTGAGAAACATTATTTCCGAGCAGATGGAAGACCCGTCTCATCTGGCCACGTGCAGGCCCCCAGCCTGGGACAGTCCCCAAGGGCCTGGAGACCCGATGTAGGGAAGAGTTGGGGTGGACACAGCCCAGTTCAGCTCAAGAGTCTGACACACAGGCGTGCGCGCGCGCGCACACACACACACACACACACGCACGCGCGCATACACTCACGCGAGCACGCACACTCGCGCGCATCCCCGCACGCAGGCGCGCGTGCGTGCGGCAGGCAGCAAGCTCTGCGCTTTGGAGCGCTGCTTACCCTCTCCCCCGTCTCCAATCTTCCTTCGAGGGAGAACCGAAGGAGACCTGGGGGGACCCGTGAGGTGCTTAGGTCAGAAGAGGCTTAGGCGGGCCCCGCCTTCAGTCCCCCGCAGGTCCTTGGAGCGACCCAGAGGCCCCTGGATCAAGACGATCCGAACTGAACAAAGCGGGCTAGACGCCACCTTTCCACCTCCCACGCCTTGGCAAAAGGGGTGGGGGGACAAGGCGCCTCCTGCCCTGGCCCCCGACTGTTGGCCAGTGTGAAAGGGTGGAAACGGGGGACTTCGAAGGGGGACAAGGGACCTTACGTCCATGGAGAGGCCAGGGTGCCACCCCTGCACCTCCGTGGCTAGCTTTCCCGCTGCTTTCAGGTTAGCAGCAGGGAGACACTGGAGGGGAAAAGTGGAAATCTGGGGCCCCGAGCCTCAGGCACAGGTGGTGACCACAGGGGCCAGGGACACTGGGGGCGCTGAGGACGTGGAAGGCGCACCCCCCTTCTCCGCCTTCTTCTCCTTTTGCTTGAGGTGGATCTTGGCATGGCGCTTGCGCTCGTCGCTGCGCGCAAACTTGCGCCCGCAGAACTCACAGGCAAAGGGCTTCTCTCCCGTATGCGTGCGGATGTGAGTGGTAAGGTGGTCGCTGCGGCTGAAGCTCCGCATGCAGATCCGACACTGGAAGGGCTTGTGGCCAGTGTGGATGCGCAGGTGCCGGGTTAGCTCGTCCGAGCGGCTGAAGCGGCGATCGCAGCCCTCCGCTGGGCACGCGTGGGGCCTCTCGTGGAGCGGGGTCTTGCTGGGTCGGTTGGGGTACTTGCGGGGCCGGATGGGCTTGAGCGTGAGAGGCGGCTGGGGCAGGCTGCTGAAGCCTGGGTGGATTTGCTTGTCTTTGAAGGCCTTGATCGTCTCCAGGGGAGTAATAGGGGGTGGGTTGACTCGGATGGGGTCCATGCCCTGGAAGGGCTTGTGCTCCGGAATAGAGCCCATGTCATTGGGGTGGTGGTATATGTTGTAGTCAGGAATCATGGGGAAGAGATTGCTGTCCAAGGCCGGCTTGGCCGATTGATAATCCTGGGGGGAATAGGCGAGCCCGGGGTTGCCCTGGGGGTCATGGAAAGACACAGGCTCCGAGTAGAGATCACTGCAGTTAGAATAGGGCGGCAGCGCCGGATACATGGCCTCCACGTCGCCCTGCGGTGGCTGCACCATGCTGGCAGTAGAGGTCTGCGTGCTGAGTGCCCCTGAGGCCGGGGGCACCCCCAAGATGCCAGCGCTCATGAGGCTAATGATGTTGTCCTGGCACCAGTTGGAAGGGGAGTCGAAGGCGAACTTTCCCAAGTAGGTCACGGTCTTGTTGCCAGGGGCTGGCTGGAAGGAGCCGGAATAAGAGAGTTCTGGGTTGGGCTTCTCGTTGGTCAGGCCGATGTCCATCACATTCTCTGCGGAGAGCGGGGGAGAGAGGGGAGGGATGAGTGAAGCCAAGCCGGCTCCAGGGCCCGGGCGCCCAGGTCCTTGCCCAGGTGTGGAGGGTGCGGCCGGGTGGAGTGCGAAGCGCATGGGGTAAAAGGAAAGCTGCGCCCGGCGCAAAGCGGGCGGTGCCGCGCTCCCGGGCGCAACCTGGATACAGCAAAATACTACGGATCGGGGTGTGGAGTGGCTGCTGCACACACACCGCACACGCCGCGCACACACACTCACGTACCACACACACGCGCGCACGCGCGCGCGCGCGCGAAGCATTGTTGTTTCCGAGGTAGGGCGGGCAGGTAGCTGCAGCTACAGGTAGTTTCAGACCCGGAGCGCGCCGGGCTCTCGCTCTCTAGTGCACACAACTCGGCCTCTTCACCCTACCCCTGTCCGCACCCGGACGCCGCTCCTTTCCTGCCTCGACGAAGCCCTCCTGGCGCGTTGGGCCCGGGTCGATGACCCCGGGAGCTCTGACGCTTTGTCCTCCGCGCGTAGAGGGGTACTGCCCAAAAGGGGAGCTCGCCCGCCACCTCGCCCACCCCCCCACCCGGCCCAGCCTCCTCCGGGCCTGAAGCAGCTTTCGACTCTTGCTGGAGGGAGAAAGCCCAGCCCCTAGCGAGGGTGGAGGGCGGCGGAAAACCGGCTCGTGTCTCCACGCCCGGAGTGGCCGCTCATCCCAAGCTCTTCCCCCCCAGGGATCGCCCCCCGGGGCAGACCCCGCTCGGGGTGAACCGCCTCCCTTTCCCCATCGTCCCCACACCCCCACGGGTTTGCTGAACGCCCCGGAAAGGTAGCGTCGCAGTACCTCTCCCACCGCGGGGACTCCACGCCGCACACGGCTCCATCCCGGGTGGGGGGCTGAGGGAGTAAGAGGGAGAGCGCGGGTGAAAGGGACGCTCGGCTCCTCCCGGGAAAGGGGGCGACGGCACCACGCCTTGCGCGCAGCCTGGCGATCGCGCCCCCTGAGTGGATGGAGAACCCCGGAGCACGGCCGCTCGCACCTACCTTCCTCCAGTCGGCGGCTGCCCCCACCCGGGAGAACAGAAGCCTCTACCGTGGCGTCGCCAACCGAGCCTTCCCGATCGGGGAGGGCGGGGGGAGTGGGTGGGAAAAGCAACTCGCCCCCCGGAAAATTCTCAGCGCCCCCCCATCTTATCCATCCATCCATCCATCCATCCATCCATCCATCGCTAGTTGATTCCCTCCTGTTCCTCTCCCTTTCCTTCCTCTCCACCTCGCCGCCTCCCCGCCGCCCTTACCTGTAGCCATCTGATTGTAATGGGCTACGGAATCGCTGCTGCCGGAGAAGAGGTTGAGCGCGCTGGGGATCTCCTCGGGGTACAGATTGTCAGGCAGTTGGTTTAGCAAACTGCTCATGGTCACCGGCAGCTTCTCGGCGAGTTTGCCGGTCATAGCACTCCGGAGCTGCCGCCACCGCCGCCGCCGCCGCTCGCTCCTAACGCAGCTTCCAGGCCAGCGGCATCCGAGAGGCGATCCGTGGTGCAGGGGAAAAGCATGCGAGAGGGAAAGTTCGGGGGGAGGGGGGAGGGAAGAGGGGAAGGGGTGGGCCAGGGGAGGGGATCTTCTCTTTTTGGGGGGTGGGTGGGAGAGAGGGCAAAGGGGGGTAATCTTCTCGGGTGCCGGGATGGTGCCGTAGGAGGCTGGGTTTTGGGTGGGGGGCGTGTGCAGGGGGTGGGCTGGGGGCTGGGTGGGGGGTCTCGGCGGAGGGGGTCGGACGCGGTCTCAGTATTAATCTTACAAACAGACGCGCGCCGGCGGCCCCCCCACCCCCCGATCCGCCGCCGCCGCCGCCGCCACTGCCGCCGCACTGCCGCCGCACTGCCGCCGCCGCCGCCGCCGCTGCTACCTCCACCACCAGCCCCGCTGCTTCCTAGCAAGCTCACTGCTGCCCAAAAGCTCCCAGCCAGGGAACTCCACCAGCCTATTTATCTGAGCCCCGGGAAAGCTCCGTGACGTAGCTGCCCATATATGGACAGACAAAGCCCAGCGAAGGGGCGCGACGTCACAATGGAAGCTCCTCACAATGGAACATTAGAAAGCAGGAAGCGGGCCGCAGCCAGCGAGCGGAGTCCGCGCCGCTCGCGGGTCTTGAAAAAAGAGAGAAAGAGAAACAGAAGAGAAGAAACAAGCGCAATTGGAGAGGAGAGAGGAAACGGGGATGTAACCGAATGCAGAGCGTAGAGCACGTTGCGCGCGTTCAAAAAGCCCTCGCCGTCTGTGTTTATTCTGGGTCTGTACCGGGAGGACGCGCCGGGACGCGCGGGGGAGGGGCGCGAGAGCCGGGGGGGGGGGGGGGGGGGGCTCGTTTGCTGGTGGTCTCCAGCACCCCTCGCAGGAATACAGAGAAATGAAAACCATGGGCGACGTCCCTTTGCAGCCCCGGGACTTCTGGGGACCCCGGGGCGACCGCCCTGCTCGCTCCCAGGGCCCTGGCGCAGCGGGCGGGAGCGCGAGCGCGTCCCTCCGAGCGGTCGTCCCGCGCGTCAGGGATGCCTGGTCTCACATCCCGAGAACTTCTGCACCTCCCTCTCTGCGATTAGCCGCCCACACCCCTTGCCTCTCCTTCAGTCCCTGACCCTGCGCTGACTCCCGGCTGAACGCTGGGGCTGGGAAGAGCCGTAGCTGCAAAGAGGTTGTGTGGGAGGCGAGTACCCCGCACAACTGGGGGTCGAGGGTGTGCGGTTTTGGTGGTGAAGAAAAAGTGAAGTTGAGCGGAGAGGAAGCACGTGCACCAAATCCTGAGTAAATTCCGTCACGGTTCCTAAGCACCCCCTTTGGCCACGGGATGGCAGGAGGGCCCAACAGGCCCAGGCGCAGCCGCTGTCTATTGCTGCTTGGGAAAGGCCCGCCACTGAGTTGCAGCAGGATCACGCGGAACTCACAGTCTGACACTAAGGCAGCCTCTCCTAGTCTCTACCCTTCCCATCGCCTTCTACATGGCTGTCCCTGGAGCCCTGCACTCAAGGGCCGCCTGTTTGCCAACCCGGAGTGCTGTCACCTCCCATAGCGGCAGCAGATTCCGGAGGTGGCCGATATGTTCCCCGAGGCCTGCTCCCGGGGCGCGCGCGGCCAGGCCCGGGAGAAGGGTAGGAGAGGAAGGGAACGTAGAGGAGCGACCCCGAATCACACCGGCTTGGTGTGGGAGGATTCCCTCCTCGGTGGCCGCGTGGGCGAGGTGAATCCCGCGTCCCCCGCTGGGGAGTCGGGTTGGGGGAACATGCATTTCTCAGGGGGAGTGGGAGTGTTGACAAAGAGCAAGAGAGGATCCCCGGGCCTCGCACTGTGGGAGGGCCACGCGGGCCGGGGACGCGTGGGAGGAACTCCCGAGCTGCACATAGCGGTGGAGGTGGATGACAACCTCGCTCTCCTCCCCTCCGTTTCACTCGGTGGAGAACGGGGTGGGAGGGGCCGGTCTCTCCCGATCTTCTCCGGTTCTTAGGAAAGGAGGGATTCCCGCCGCCCTCGAGCCCCTTCTCCCCCGCCCCTGCCGCCAGGTTTCCCACACCTAAACCCGGGAGGCACTGCGCCCCCGGGCTCTCCTCCGCCTGCGCGGCGCGGGGAGCGAGCGCTCTGCAGCGGTCCGGGCTCCGGCCGGAATCAGGGCGTGCAGCGCCTCCCGCCCCCGGCAACCTCCCTTGGGGGGGCGGCGGGGCGGCGGGGCGGCAGGCTAGGAGACGTGGGCGTCAGTGTGAGCCGAGCTGGGCGCGGGAGGGGCTCTGGCGGCTGTTGGGAGGGTCGCCGGGCGGCGAGCCAAGCCGGGAAGAGCCATACAAGGAGCGGATCCGGTGACGCGCCGGCCGCGCCCCTTCTCCTTCTCGATTTGGCTGCAGATTCCGGTACCCGAATTTGCATATTTTGGCAACCAGTGGAAAAGGAAAGAAGAACGGAACCCGCAGCCTTTAAAGGAACCGCACAGGCTGTCGCGTCACCTAGGGAGGCGGTCTGGGGGGCGGGAAATATTAGCCAGCGGCTCCGGCCTCTGGCCGTAGACCAGGTGGTAGGGACGAGGCGGGGGCGGCTCTGACTCGCCAGAACTCTCGTCCCAGTCCTGGTCCCTCTGAGGCGCCTCCAGCTGCGCGTGCACCCGCAGGTGGCGGGGTCTCCGCAGGTTCCTGAGAGCCTGGAGGCGCTGTGAGGTCCGCGGCCTTGGGCGAACCGCAGGCCCCAGTATTGACTGCAGTGCCCACGTTTCCCCGCGAGAGGCACAGCTCGGCCTCTGCGGGTGACAGGAAAAAAGGAAGAGACCTCCAGGCCGCCCAGATCAACTTCGGAAGACCCCACCGTGATACCCCTCCTCCCCATCTGCTGAGACCTCTCTCCAGGAGAGGAAAGTGAGGAGCTGAGAATCGCCAGTTTTGTTCCATTAGAGACCTGTGTTAGGAAAGCAGAGGCAGTGGGAACATTTGGGATCCTTGAGTGTTTCCAGGGCCCCAGAGAAGGTAGGTGGAGGAGTGCAGCCTCTCTAGAGATGGCCCTCGTACCCTTCTAGGTCAGCTGGGCTTGTCACACCCAAGTAGGTCTGGCCGGCTTGCTCCACAGCCTGCTTACATGTTAGTGAAATTGGATAGGAGCTTTTTGGGGGGAGAGGGGGGACACACATGTCTTCCTTCTCCTTCCTACTAGTTCTTGACATAACAGAAGAGTCTTCAATTAAATAAGTATTCCTTGGAACTTCAGTGTGATCTTGGACAAAGCTCTTCCTCAGCCTCAGTTTTCTTGTCTGTAAATTGAGATAATAGTACCCTAGACAGAATTAATTTAGATGATCCCCATACAGTGAACACTTATGCTAGAGCCCAGAAAGCACTCACTAAATGGCAGTCACTACTGTTCAATTGTATTCTCGCCCACCCTGTCATGTGGCAGAAAAGCCCGTTCTGCTTGTGTCTTAGAAATGAGTATAAATGACACAGGGAGTGAAAAGGGCCAAGTGTGGACTTCGGTCCCACATCAGTGTGATCATATAGCAGAAGTATTAATGTTTATTATTTAGGGGAAAAGAAAAGTCTTATTTGTGTGCCAGGTACCTGCTGGTCACTTCGCAAATAGAGAGATGGGTAAGACATGGTCTGCAGTCTGCAGGAGCCCAGGTGAGGACTGAGCCCTCAGTAGCTGTTGGTGGAATGAGGCAGGGTGCACAGAAGTCACTCAGTGGCCCTTTAACTCTCTGGAGCATCCTCCTAGATATTTCTGGAAGGTGGCCAGGGCTCTCAGGGTGGGGTGGGGGATGCTGGTGCCCTTCCTTCCCCCCTCTGCCATGGAATGAGTCATGCTGGGGGAAGCCTGCTGCTGCAAGCATAGGCCCTCAACGGCCTGGCTCCTGTTCAGGTGGCAGCCCACACAGGTGTCCCCTGTCACCCTGATGATGGTGGCAGTTGGAGGCCAGGGTTGCGTGACAGGAGGGGACAACTCTGGGTATGGAATGGGGGTAAGGTATTGGGAGTGGCTGCTTGTAGAATAATAGCATTCTTCCTTTTGATTGTCAAGCCTTGAATGCAGCATAGAAGAAAAGTTTCTCTTCTTCCCTCCCTCCTCCTTCCCTCTCTCCCTCCTGAACAGGGGCTGGGAATGATTGTCTGTTTTATTGGCGGGCTCAGGTGAGATTGCCAAGGGCCTAATTACCTGAACTCCAAGCCCTGGACTTGTTGGAGGGCAAGTAGGCACTGGTTCAGGGTGTCCTCACCCAGGAGATGGTGAAAGGCAGGCCCGACCCCTCTGCAGCCGGGCCAAGTCCGCCCGGCCTCTGGCTGCTCTCCTGACTCCAGCTAACCTCACCAGCTGCACTTACAGGCTCTGTGGCTGCTTGCCACAGAGGGGACAGTGGGTGTGCTGGTCTTGGGGAAAGAATAAAGGAAGGAGGAGAGGTGGCCCTAAACATCTGCTGAAGAAAAAGGCCCAGTTCTTGCTCTGTCTTGCTCCTTAGTTCTGCAGTCACCTTGCCCTCTGAACTTTATGTCCCCCTTTTTTGCTAAAGATGTCCAGACTTTCTCTACTGTCTTAAAAAAAAAATAATAAAACCCCGCCCTGACTGGTGTAGCTCAGTGGATTGAGCCCGGGCCTGTGAAGCAAAGGGTCGCCGGTTCTATTCCCAGTCCGGGCACATGCCTAGGTTGCAGGCCAGGTCCCCAGTAGAGGACACATGAGAGGCAACTGCACACTGATGTTTCTCTCCCACTCTTCCTCCTTCCTTTCTCCTCTCTCTAAAAAATAAATAAGTAAAATATTTTAAAAAAAGAAAACCCCAATGAATTCAGGGGTGTTAGTGAGTTCACACATTGCTCTTCTCATTGCTCTTCTCAGAGGGTATTTGCATTTCAAAAGAAAATGCTTAGAGAGGGTACTATGTAACCCAAAGACATTAAGCCCAATGCTTAGCTCCATGCCTGGAGAACAGTAGGTGCTCATCATTGCTGGTGGAATGAGGTCTCACTGTGGCCTGAGGATATCAGGCCCAATGACAGGAACAGGAGATTCGGACACAGAGTGTCCCCACGGCTCCTCAGATCTCACCAGGCCCTGTGCGTAGAGCCCACCCTGGTGGGATGACTCCGGAATGGCAGTCCTCTCGACGGTCCTCAGTGGCTTTTCATTTTGGGGTGCTCCAGGAGAGGTGGGCCGGTCACGGGTGAGCTCTCCCCAGCCAGACTTCCCTGGTGCTCTAGAGGCAACTACCGTTTGCCTGGTGGTTCCAGCCAGCTCTGAGGCCAGGTGGAATTTGCCTGGAAGCTTGCAGAAGGGACTCAGTGTTGACGGCCAAGATGACTTTGGAGTGTGGGGCTTCCAGCTCTGAGCCGGGGCTCAGCCTCT